ATAGTCGTAAATAAATGCTTTTTAAATACTTTAAAACTTTTAAACAGACAAATATAACCTAACTAGAATCAAAACTGTAAAATAGATACCTATAATATTTTATGATAATCATATTTGTTGTATTTGTGAATATCATGATTTAAATATGAAAAAGGTTTCTTTTTATAAATTGAAACTTACAACAAAATTTCAATGAAATAATTTTAGATATATAAGTAGTATTTTTTTTTAATGGGTGCAAATGGAATGGTATCCCCGCCTGCGCTAACGGAATACGCTGGCGGAGCACCAATGAAGGGTGATTGATGAGAATGAAAACAGGCCAGTTAGCCTATCATGATGAATTCATCAGGAATTAACCATGATAGTTTCCAGGGGCAACCGCGAGGAGGTCGACCTGGTTGGGTATATTGCTAGCAATGGGATTCTCTGTCACCATTACTAACAATCCCTTTCCCCCCTGTTATAAATAGTATTTACCTAGGCGGATTTATTCTTTAGGGGAAATTATTACTATAAGGTATTATTTAATTTGCATGAAAAGTTAGCAAACTAAATGTATTTATTAAAAAATATATAATAATCTCTTTCATTAATTTGATGATGAAATTAATATTCCGTGTACGAAATTCAATGATATTAATCACATATTGTTCTATAACGATCAAATTTTAAACAATAGCAATTTAGTATTATAGTTTTAATAAGTATCAGTTATAATATCTTCACGCTTCGCCACAATGCGAGTATAGTGAGACTTTAGATTTAAAGTTATTGCTCGTTATAATCGATATTAGTTTTATGAATGCCATAGACAATTTCTTTATGTTATTTTATTTAATCTGTGGTAATACTAAAAAATATTAATTTAAAACATTCATCTGTTCTATGTAGATTCTATGAATTTACTATCTTTATTCTTATGACGATTAATACAATATAAATTACTTACTCCAATAAATTATTTTCAAAATTATTTTGTATGACTTTTATTAAATAATTTTTATTGGTATAGAATTCTTAAAACAATGGCGTATAACATTCTCTTTAAAATATTATGAACTCATACCATTAATGTATTTCTTTAATGTCAAATAATGAGCTTTCTTTGTAAGTACCTAAGTAAGTACATTACAAGTCCTGTTACAAGTCCAATTACAAGCCTTCAAAATATTACCATTCATAATCATTTAAGTACTTTTCATACAGACTGTTATCGTGTGTGTGTTAATGGTGGAATAATATTTCTCATACATAAAAAATCTCATTATTCAAATTAAATGGTGATGAAGTCATATATCATTAGGCTCGGCATATTAGGATCGGCAACGCGCCCGTGATACTCCTTGTGTTGCAGGCGTTCATAGGTTCACTAACCGTTTACCATCAGACAGGCTGTATGCTTGTTTGCCACTTTCGTATAATAAAAAATAGTGTGTCCATACATATGATTCAACAAAAATAGATAAATTTTTTATTCATATGTGGGTGAATAGGATTATTATAATGTACATTTATTATTTAATATATGAGAAATATTAAATATTGTGACATTGGCACACATAAAAAAAAACACGTCTTATTTTTAAATAAAAAAAAATTATTAGCTTAACGTCAAATTACTAACTTAATTTTGACTTGATTTTGACACATTTTTGACACTCGATGGTCTATGTCTAAATTCCTCGAATACTTAAAATAATTGTCAACGTATGATAGCGTTGACAATAGTATTGTTCAAAGACATTAGGTATTAAAATGCAAAACCCATTACCTAAGTAGTGTTCCGTTACTCCAACAAGAACTACTCACCTAGCCTAGCTTGTATATACTTGTGTTTAAATCAATAGGACCACACAACACTAAATCATGGATATTCATCACACGTGTACAATTGTGAACTTTATGCATGTAATTTTAAGGAGTACTGATTAGGTACTTGTTCTTGTTGAATACATACTGAAGTTAACCCTGTTAGTATATATATATATATATATATATATATATATATATATATATATATATATATATATATATATAATTATTATATATTATACAGTAGTTGCCACGCTTGATAAACACAGGCCTTTGGTGATGTTTTAAGAGGGACATTGCTGCCTCGACTATTAAGTTCCCTTAGTCGCCTCTTACGACATCTACGGGAAAGGAAAGAGTGGTCCATTCTATACCGGGACCACACGATAAATTAAGAAGTAAATTTATATCTATTAAGAATTCTAAAATACATATACATACATTTAACAGAGTTTAACAGACCCAGTCTGTTGAAGAGTGATCTACAAATATTGGCGGAGTATGTTGGTTCCAAGACTACAACATGGTGCAAATCGGCTCTATGTGTGGCCGCTGTGTTAGATACTGCAATTTTTATTACGGTACATGCATGCATGCTCTTGCAAGTGATAGTATCAATACAGTCAAGGTGAATAACCATACGATATCGTACTTGTGATTTATTTGCGGAAAGATGTAAGACTATTTGACAGAATGTTTAATGCTGGGTGTGAGAAATGTGTATGAACTTATTGATAAACTATGATAAAATTATTATTCAATCTATAATAAATTATGTACTTATGTAATCATGATACTTAAATAAATATAGGTTTTTGTAAGTATGCGATATACTATCTGTTGTTAAATAGACGTAGCTTATTCTTTTTAAACTACTTCTAACATCAGATTTTTAATCTAAAATTTTGTGACTATATTATGCTATTAAGTCGCCAATCAAAATTTTGTCTATCTGTATGTAAGTTTTGGCGTCACGCAAAAATTACTGCACCAAATTGGACGTTTATTCACAATTTTGTTCCTGAAGATCTAACTTAAAATCTGGAATATGTTTTATCTTGATACTCCATCTAGAATTGGTTTAATTCATTGGTTTTTCTACTTTTGAAATCCACGCATACAAAGTAGCAGGCAAAAAGCTAATATATAAGACGTTTCGTGAAAACTAGAACAAACAATATCATTTTTACAATTACATAGTAACGAATTACAGATTGTAAGCATTTTATAAACCACGTAGGTTCGTCTTGAATCAATACCAAGAATCTACATAGACATATTATTGGAAGTACTTACGTATGAAATGTTGGTCAATAATGTTTATGTTATACTGATACTTACAAGTACGTGAAAAATTGTGCAAGACCAGCATGAAATATTATATTATAGATGTACTAAATGTTTGTTTGCTTACATACAATGTTCTTTTTGGTAAATTGTTTACAAATATATCTGTGAAGTGAATATCTATACTATAGGGGCGAGGAAGGAGCGGGCGGTGTATGCCGGATTAGTGAGATTCTACTGTGATTATTTTCATTTTTGACAATCAGTTTATTTACTTCGGCACTGTCATTAATATCACATCAGCTGTTAAGTGTCCACTGCTAATAATAGATCTTCTCTTTGGGATGAAAGGGATTGTTAATAATCGGGTCTAACAGCCCAATCGCTAACAATATGCCCGCGTGACGATCAAACTGGTAGTTTGATCGTCACGCGGTTTTCCCTGAAAAGCATTGTGGTTGTGTTGTTGAATTCGTCACAATAAACCGACTGGCCTGCTTTCATCCTCAACTATCATGTCTCATTGGCGCCTTGCCAGTGTATACCGATAGCACAGGCGGGGATACTATTCCATTGTCATCCATAAAAAAGACCTCCCCTTGGGGGATTTTGCCAGTAGTCATAGGCAAAAGGGTTGGCAACCAAAGTTAGGTTTTGGTGGCGTTTTAATAAGGACGCTGCTGCCCGTCCCTCGACCAATAAATTCCCTTAGTCGCCTCCTACGACATCCGTGGGAAAGGCAAGGGTGGCTCATTCTATGCCGAGATCACGCGACAAGGTTCGGCATAATATTTAGACACAATACTTTTTTTCATTATTCCAATAACCCATTCGGAATCTTAAATATTAGATAAAAAATATTAGTTTTTATTTCGATAAAAATGCAAATGATATAGAATAAAAAGTGTAGAGTTAACATTTTTTGTTTTATATTGAAAGTATAAAAAAAGTCGGATTAAAAATAAAAAGTAGTATATATAAATTGTGTAAGTTCTTAAACCCACACAAGTTTGTTAAGTTACTGTGGAATATTCAGTTTCGGACATAGACACGACATCCTTTTGTTTTAATTATACACTGCATTGTGTATTCGAATCTTGTTTCGTTAAGAATATATTAACTTTGCAATGTAAATCGCGCATTACAATGTGCGAATTTGTTACATGAAGGTGGAAGTTAATCTGTGTTTCCCAGACAAATATTTCCGTAGTCCGATGCTCTCTCGTTCGGCCTACTGGCCTTGTTACAGACAGGTGACAGGCGTGAACTGATAACTTAATATATATTATTGCAATAATGACATCTTGACAATTAGAGGCCAAGTAATTAAGTCTACCTTTTTATTGGTTTTTGGGACTCAGTAAATAAGTAATAAATAATAATTTGTAAATAATCCATATGTCGGTTACAGTCTAAGAACGAGTGAATGCAAGAACGAAGGTTCTATTTTATAAAAGCTGAAAAATTCTCAGGACATACGCCCAACACATGTAGCAACTATAGTCTACTATGAAATTTGAGGTTGTCGTTTGGCAAATAACAAGTAGCAACTTAAACTCATCAAACAATAAAACGTAATTTTCTCTATATTTTGTTTCAGAATATTATTAGAAATCAAGTCATCCATTGCCAGACAATGTCGTGTCAATCCCTTGCCAGATAATAAATCCTAACCTTGCTTATGTTATTGGTATTGTACATAAAAATCTCAAGATGCTATTTTGGTAGTTTCTCTCAAATCAATCGATCCTACTCATTTAAAAAACTAGCTTTTACTTACTTACTTTTTTACTCTTCGTTCTAAGTCGGTGTTTATCAAAAATTACCAAATTTTATATCTTAATTAACATTAGTTTGTTAGCCTTTTATTGACGGTTTATTTTTTTATTTTGTTTCAGATTAGCGAATCGCAGGTGGCTCTTGTGAATTCTTTGCTGGCAGGGTTCTATCTGCTGGCGGGCCCATTCGTATCAGCTCTAGCTAACAAGTAAGATTTTTGTAATAATATCAACTGAATCATCGTCTTACCTATAGGGCAAGCGAACAGAAATGCTTAGGATTTTCTTCTTTTGTTTTTGTATATTCAATGTTATCTCTGATAATTAAATAGTAATATCCTTTTTAACTCTGCCGTGTGGTCTCGGCATAGAATGGGCCAGCTCTTCCTTTCCCGTGGGTGTAATAAGAGAAAAATATGGGGATCAAAGCCTAACGGCTATTGCTAACCTGCCTGCTAAACGAGGCAACTGCTTGCAAAACCCTCCTTATGGTGAAAGCCTATGTTCAACAGGGGACAATTAACGGCTGATATTATAATAGTAAAGTAAAAATCTTTTCAAAAGTGATAAAGCATAAGAATGCTATGAGCAGTAGATGTAGATGACAGTTATTAGTACAAGCTACGAGTATACAGAGATACAAGTATACTTTGTATCATTTGTCAAGGGACCGTAAGCTTCTTTGTTTTCCCAAGATACTCATAGATAGCTATAAAAATACTTATTGCCATTAATCCTGGCTTTTCCCCAATAGTTTCAGTAACTATAATTTGAAAACTCAATATTACTATTTTTTAATATATTTTTTATTTCAATTGAAACAATAGATGCTTATAGAGCTTCTTGCGCCATCTCTCTATATTTAAAATCCTTTTCCTTGACGTTGAGTTCGGTTCCTTACACCGATGAATAAGTAAATGATCAAATAATTTATAAACTAGCATATATTTTTATATGGTTTAATAATAAATATTAATTTTAGATACGGGTTCCGAGTGGTGACGATTGTGGGCAGTTTAATTTCAAGTTCTGCATTTGCTCTAGTCTATTACGCAAACAGTGTGGAGTACTTGTACTTTGTCTATGGAATCGTTGGAGGTTGGTCTCATATTATTTTTTCTTTTACTTTTAAGTTAACAACTATTCTTTTATCTACTTTAAGGCTTATTTTATAGTTTGATCGTAAACTTCAGCCAAATTAAGATTTGCCATTTGTGAAACTAAAATTTGTTTCTTGTTAGCCAAATCCTGTAGCTATGCCCGTGTAAATTAGGATAAAAATAGTATTTGTATAAATTTGTGATATCTGCATAGGTAAAATTTATTTACGTGTATACCAAATTTCATTAAATCTATTCAGCGTAATTAACTAACATTCTAAATATCTTTACAAAATTGCAAATTTATGGGTTGGAAGGTCTGTCGGTTCTTTTATTCCTAAAATGTCATACAAGCTATAATTATTTTTATTTCATACAAGGCTTATCACCGTAATCGTTATCGCGCATTACTACACGCATGAGGGATGTTATGGAGGTCGAAATATTGTCTATGGTACCCATGACATTGTTCATGTTCATTATGTTCTACCATGGTTTACCTTTTTAAGTGCGATAAAACATTATAGGTAGCTTATTATAATTAATTAGAAGCATATTTCCCACAAAATAATAGAAAAAATATAAATATCAGGAAGTACGACAGATTTAAAATTATATACGCATATAACTTGTCATAGCCATATTTCGTAATAAATACAAAAAAACTACCCTTAGTTTTTGCTACAAGACACCTATGCATGAATGTTTTCTTTTAAAGGAATATAGCAAGGCAATTATGGATTGTAAGTCACATTCTCTCGGCTTTATATTCGTAAACCGTAGTACTTTATTTCTCAAATCTGGACGATTACTGTCATGGATATCACAATGTATTCTATGATGTCCATGTGGCTTCATATTAACAAACGACGAAAATTATATTCCATTAAGTGGTCCGTCAGTTTGTTTCATTTTTCGTTTTCCTTCTTATTTCCTTAATGTTTAGTTTCCCTGAAATAGGGCTAGGCATGAGCAAACTCTTTTTACTTCTTACTAGTGTTTATGGAGAGAAACTCATACTTAATTGTAAGACGTTAATGGATATTCATTGCCTTTTTCAGCCTTAGAATTATGAATAAATTTAACAATTACTTTTTCAGGTATTGGCCTATGCATGATTTACATGCCCGCTGTTTTGACCGTTGGATTTTACTTCGAGAAATGGAGAGCACTCGCCACAGGACTCGCACTATGTGGCTCTGGAGTGGGAACCTTTGTAATGGCACCTCTAACAGCTATGATTAATAATAGTTTAGGTTGGAAAATGACGATACTTTTCCATGCAGGTATGTATCTCTGTGAATAAAGGTTTTTCTTAAGACAGTGTGCCTTAGTTTAAAGATCAAAGAGTTGGTGTGACTGACACTTTATATTATTATTTTATTGACATACAAGTATATCTTCATGCATACACTTAGCACTCGACAATTTCGTTTCATTTATTTTATATACAAACTTTTCAACATCATAATTAATTTTCAGGCATGTTGCTACTGTGCATAATATTCGGTGCCATGTTCAGACCTATCAAACCATTACGTGTCACCCTTGCTGATCAACCAGATGAAGAAGATATTGCAAGACGCCATGAAGAAGCTGTTGAAAAATTAAATTCTATGCTCAAACTGCACAGCAAACTTGATTCTGGTATTTCAATGCCACCTGAAATGAGATTCACTAACAAAATTAATCCCCATACATGGATGGGTGTGGCTAGTAACACTAGGTATCCGACTGCAGAAGAAGTATTCCGTGGTAGCAATTCACACCTGAGTCACTCTCAGTATGGCAGACGTTCCTCAGCAAATGCTAGCGCCATAAAGAACAACGTTGGAAATAAGCCAATGTTCATTGACGTGCCAGTTGCCGAGAAAGATGAACAAGATGATTCCAATAGCAATATTGATAACACACAACCTCTCATTGGCTCAACTATCAAAGTTAGACCTGTGCCTGTACCAAATCCCCGCCGTTCTCACGCTGACCTAGTAGCTAGGCCTTTATACCGTGATGATATTTTCTTCGGCGCTAGTCTGACAAGGCTACCTCAATACACATCACGCACTTCTCTTGGCTATCATTTAGCTGTAACTCATGTTCCAACAAAGGAGGATACTCGAGAAGAAACTTCAAGCAAATGTAACTTCTGCCCTGAAGCCGTCAAGCGAGTATTAGCAACTATGTTAGACGTTAGCCTCTTCAAGTCGCCTACATTTGTAATACTTGCCTTAAGTGGATTTTTCACTATGTTGGGATTCTTCGTGCCGTACGTTTATGCAACAAAGAGAGCGCAGGATAATAATGCTAGTGAGTTGGCTTGTACTTGGTTGGTGTCAGCGATAGGCGTAGCGAATATCATTGGCCGTGTGTTGTGTGGTCTGGTATCATCGATGCCGAAGGTATCTCCGCTGTGGTTGAATAATATTGCGTTATCTGCTGGCGGAATTGCAACTATTGTAAGCGGTCTGTGCTACCACGACGCCTATCAATTTGGATACTGCATCATATTCGGACTTGCTGTCGGTTAGTATATTTTTACATATTTTTTTTTTTATATAACACAGAATGGTAAACAACCTGATGGAAAGCGGTAATTGTCAGCTATAGACATGAACAGTACTATGAACATAATAGATATATATAGAATATTGTGTCGTGATACCCCTCATGCATTGCCATTTCTAAAGAATAAGGTGTTATGCCAGGATATAATCTTGTAATTTCACTGCCATATCCTACTATCTAAACCGAAACACAACTACTTCACGGCAGAAACACGAATAAGACAAAAGGACCCAAACAAACAACTTTTATACAACCTTCTTCTAATATATTAGTATAACATAAGTGCACTCGTACTTCGTTCATTTTTAAATAAATACATGTTATTCATGTCTATAGTAACTGCCGATAACCAAAACCTTAGAGACATTCCCCTAAAAGACATACTTCAGTTTTGTCAAAATTTCAAACCTTAAAAGCAAGCTTTTGAGCATGTTGTGAGAGATTGTGGGCACCAATAGGCACTGTTTGCTACTTTAAATAGTCACATTAAAATATTTATTTATTTTCTTTTACAGCTTGCTTCGCATCTCTCCGTTCAATATTGGTCGTGGAATACATCGGACTTGAACAACTTACCAATTGCTTTGGTCTGTTTCTTCTTTTCCAAGGTCTTGGAGCTCTATTAGGCGCTCCCATTGCCGGTAAGTTGACGTCAAGTTTTCAAATTCAAAATTGACAATTTCCTATAGAGACTTTTAACCCTCTTTATGAGAAGAATATTCAAAAGTCTTTTCTTATTACTTCAAGTATATTATTCTTAATGATAATGATTGAAATGGTATACAAATTCTACAAAATTCGAACCCCTAAATTATTTATGAGTTGGTGTACAAAACACTGGGCTTCACCTTTATGCAACAGTTTTAATTATATTCATATGTCAGCGTCGTCTCTTTAATTAAATGAAACAATAACGCTTGCATAATAGTTGGCGCCTAGTTATCTGTAGCCTCTGTCAGTAGAGCAGGCGCAGTGCCAAATTCCTACCTTCGTGTGATTGCCCGCATCGTTGTTGCACGATGACGTCAGAAATCGACGTATCATATAGTAGAACTAACATAAAGGAAGTTCAGATAAAGGTATAAACTTGCAGTAGGTTTTTTTTTCTATGGTTGGTAATTAAATAGTAAAGGTCAGTTAGCCCATCGTGACGAATACACTAGAAATTAATCACGATGGTTTCTAGATGAGAACTGTGTGGAGGTCAACCATATAGGGTATATTGCTAATGGGGTTGCTAGTCCCCATTACTAATAATCCCTTCTCGCTCCCACTTGCAGTAGGTTATTATTCATGGTAGTTTCATTTCTTGGATTTTATTTTAATAAATAACAATATGTACCATCAACGGAGTTGCTTGGAAATTTAAAAATAATATTAATTATGGATATTTGTGCATTTAGATACATTATTTTGAACTTGGAATTGACAAATTAGTTACCAATTCAATTGATGGAGGTTGGTAACTGTCTAGATTGTTGTCGTAAAAAGAACATTACCATGCATAAGCTTCACAGAATACATTGTGATACCTCGCATGTATTATTTATATGTATAACTCATAATCCCGTCAGTTCTAAACCGAATTGGATAATCATTATTTTTTATTTGCAAAGATATACTTACAGTTTGATACCATAGACTTTTTATTTTTTATTTTAGTTTTTAGCTCAAAATAACTGTTTTTATCACAATGGAAATAGTTTTTTTTTGTGGGTCACTTTCTTTAACTTATAATGTGTTGCCGTTTTTGAGGACTAAGTGTAAGACAATTGTATAATTTAAAAATACAAAATTTGGATAATTTAAAAAAATGCAAATAAGTATTTTTGAAAGATTTAACAAGGAAATAATTTAATGTATTTTTCTGCCAGGTTTTATAATGGACCAGACTGAAAAGAACTACAACGTCACTTTCGCCGTGTCTGGCACTTTTCTGCTCTTCTCTGCCGTGATGTGCTATCCGATCGACAGAATCAGCAGGTGGGAGAAAACAAGAAACAAGCTCAGCGGCACTACGGACAAAGTTTGATTGTTCGCAGCAAAACATAGGATCATAGTAAAACAGTGCCTACTGTTTTCTTGTTAAAGAAACAGGTGCCAAAATAGTCCCAATCAGATAGGTATAGTACAATTTATCGTCATTTATAAACAGTGCTAGGTCATTGGCTAGGATTCGATAGGTTATATCAATTACTAAATGTTCATAAAATACACTGAATGTAAGAAACATTGGGTACTAACAATTTTGAATACCAGCCTCTGAACCCATTAGGTATATCGTGTCGTTTAGAGTAAAAGTATTCGAATAATGTAAAAAAATTAAGTATTTATAAGTAGGTAGATATGTACTCAAGATCTGATTTTTACAATTAAAAATTATGATCGATACCAAACTTGGTTGAGACATAACAACTAAAATTAAATGGCATCTAGTTGGATAATGTATCAAGATTGTGTTTTGCCGTCAGATGGTAATTTTTGTGTATGTTTATATAATACCTGTAGGTATATGTTCTGCCGTTTTTATATTTGGCTAGAAGAAAAAAACTGCTCATGCTATAAAAAAGGAGAAATGTGATCTTACTTTAATTCAAAATAAAATAATTAATCCACAAAGAAGCTACATATCGATTGTTGATTATGACATACCTATTTTAAAATCTATATAAGCATAACATTGTATTTCTTACATGTATTATTCATGATGTAATATTATGTAAATAGACAACAATTGCCACTTTTTATCAGATGGTTCATCAACTAGTTTGCAATTCCTAGTAAGAACTTAGTATGTAAAAAAATAAATTAATTTTAAGCGCACAACTAGGAGAAGGAACTATATGATCTGATTTATTAACTTAAAAAATATAGTGCACACGTTATACCTATACCTATCTGATAATCTATCCTGAAATTAGAAAATAGCGAAACATTCCCAACAGTTGATCTTTGGCAAAACTGCAGGGGATAATTTGCTTCAGCGATGGCTCAGTTAAGTCATAGAATTGCATTTATAATAGGTTTAGATGTTAAAAGTACAAAGACTCGAAAATAAATTATATTAGTGTTGCAGTTTTGTCCGAGTAAAGAGCCCGATGTGTAAGATGATCTGAAACCAAAATGTACTTTAATTTAGATTTTTTTTACCGGGTTTTGTGCCTGATTTTCAAAGCGGTGCATAATTTAAGACTTGTTAATCTTATGTATTTAGTTATAAGGTAACGCATATCAGTGTGCAAGAATGATTAATTTGTAATATTATTATTGTGCCTTATTGTATGAAGTGATACTTATATAAATTGTAATTTTAAAATTGTTATAATTAATATTTCTAACGAATATCGAGATCTAAACGTCCGTGGCGGGAAGCAATCGTACGTTTGCAATGACCTTTCACTAAGGTAATATCCCCGGTGCGTGTAGTTAATACATTAGAAATAAGTGCTACATGTGGCTGTGGTCTTATAGGGTAATATTTGTAATAAGAAATCATAGTCATTGCCTCCTATAACATAATTATTTTGTTGTAACTATATATTTCTATATCAACCAATTAAATTTTCATTACCCATGTAATTCCCTACAGGTTTATATGAAATCCTTAAGATTATATACTTACAATTACAGATTTACTTACCTACTCTAAAGTAATTAATAATTCTAACGAATTAATAATTAAATTATATTTATTATAATTAAATTATAAATAAATAAATAATTAAATTATATAAGACATATAGTCCCCTAATATAAATGGAGACGTGATACTTTACATGGTGTTTGTACTAAGGTACTTAATATATATTTTTACAATTTACAACGTTGTTGACCTTATACACGTATGTCTCTATACTTTTTATTAATCTACTTTTAATTAAGTACCAGATTATCGGGTATTAGGTAATGTTATTTAATCTGTAATTTAACCTAACTACTTACAGCAAAGATATTGAGACTTAACAGTTAACAAATCTGGTCATAGTTGTCTGGTCGAGTAAGTAACATTTTATACGAATTGTTGAAATTTACATTTTAGTGTTGATATAGATTTATTGATGGTTGTACATATTTATTGTGAGTTAATAATTATTTTTATTGACTATCTATTTGTAGATGGTGACTATGATTTTTTTTGGTTTTAAAGTTTGTCAAAGTCTAACCTGTGGATGCCACACTGCCATACTTAATAATATGTTGTGTTTATTATATTAAATAGCAAAGAATACTAAAATGCGTGCGCATCTACAAACTAAATAAATCAAAATCTAATCCGACTACCACAATTATTTTTTAAATTCTTATTTATTATTACTTACAATTTGTAAGATTATTCATAACTTAGCTTGTGTTTAAAGGTTGAAAATTAAAAACAAGTAATAGAAAATGTCACAGTCGTAGGTATGTTTTTTACTTAATCGATTTTATTAATCATGGCTAGTCGGGCATATATAAGTGCTTAATAATATATAAAACCATTAATAAAATGAAACGGTCATGGAAATATTCAAAAAGCCTGGGCGGGCAATTCTTATTTATTATCCTAGCATGATATCCGAACACGTGTTATTTAAATATATAAAAATAGTTTTAAAACTTTTAATAGCTACGTATATATTTATTTGTACGTAGGTTTGGTACTTTATACTGCAATGCGGTTACCGTAATCCGTATGAAATACCTATTTTGAAAGTACTTCATTTGAGGTTATTACTCTTAAAAAAATTAATAAATATAACACATTTTGTTGAGTATTTGCATTTTTTTTTTTTGTTACCTATTTATTGATTATTATCATTATTAAGACGCGCCTGCGATATTGGTATACGCTGGCAAGGCATCATGAAAAATGATAGGTGAGGATAAAAGCAGACCAGTTGGTCCATCGTGACGAATTCAATAAGAACACAATGGTTTCCAGGGGGAAATGCATGAAGGTCGAATTGATAGGGCATATTACTAGCAATGAAGCTTTTATACCTATTAATTGACTGTTAACACTTTTCCCCTCATAAATGCTTAATTTTTTTTAATGGGTAATAATAAAATAGTAACCCCGCCTGCGCTATTGGTATACACTGGCGGGGTACCAGTGAGAGATTATAGGTGAGGATGAAAAGGTATAGTTTCCATGGGGAACCGCGTGGAGGTCGACCTGATAGGGTACATTGATAACAATGGGAACTAACCTCATTATAATATATATAAATTAACGTAACAAGTTTATCAGAAGGAGACTTTGTACAAAAGTCGTTTGCTTGGGTACCTATATCCCATTCGTATTTCAACCGTAAAGCAGTTGTGTTTGCATGACTGTGTTTCGGTTTGAAGGGTGGGATATGGCATGAACTTACAGGGTACAGAGGAATAACACCCGAGTCCTCAGGAATGGCAACGCATGGGGGGTATCATGGGCTAAACAGTATACTCTGTTATATCCATGGTTTCATGTCTATAGGCGACGGTTATCACTTTCCATCAGGTGGGCCGTCAGCGTCAAAAAAAAAAAATCTACCTAATGTATCACAATCAAACCTCACCATTTAGGACCCATCTCAACCACAAACAAAAGGAGTGCGTTAGGAGTTTCAAAAGTTTATTAATGAAAATTTTAACATTATAAATAAAAATTTTGCATGGCTGTTTCAATTTGAAGGGTCGACCCTTATATGGCAAACAAATTGCAAAGTATGGAGATATAGGATGACATATAGGAACAACGCATGAAATACTACGATGGTTACTACTTCCATCAGGTGAACCTTCAACATATTTGCTGTTCAGAGTATAAAAAAGAAATAATCATATTATGTGACATGAAAAACCACTTGGTCTTATTAGCCGCTTTTAACAAAAGCCGTTGGGTTTATTATCAGCTAATTTGATCTGCTCAATCTAGTAGGATCAATAGATTTTTAATAATCATCAATAATAATCACTTCGGGAATATAATTGGAACAGGACAAGTGTCTATGACTAAATAATAAAATACAAATGTGGCGCAAAGATGTTATATTTGCATTTTATTTACAAAGAATAAAACCTATGAGTTGGAGTTGGGTCCACGACGGCGGCCGAAGGTTTGAACAACATTCACGAATCTGTAACAAAATCATGATAAATTATTAATATTGACAAACAACATGGAATTTGTAAGGCGGGATATTATTTGCATTATATATTTTTGAAACATCATTCATTTTTAATATTTTAGATAAAGGAATAATAAATAAATTTTTGCAAAGCAAAACATAATTTTTAAAAAGTATATTAGGAAACCGTGTAGGGTACCGTGTGGACCTGGCATAGGCCACCCCTTCCTTTCCCGTGGGTGTCGTAAAAGACGATTAAGGGACGGCGAGGGATGGGCAGCAACTTCCCTCTTAAAACATCTCTAAAGTCTAAGGTTGCCAATCCGCCTGCCAAGCGTGGCAACTACTGGCAAAAGCCTCAAAGGGAAGGCTTATGTTCAGCAGTGGAATGTTAAGGGCTGATACGATGATGATGATGATATTACGAAACAAGCCTAGGGTATATGTTTCTTATATGAGAAGACACTAGTTGTCACATCTGGAGGATGGTGCCAGATGGAACAAATGTAATGAACAGATTTTTTATTTGGATGCCCCTGTAGATGTAATGGAGCTCCTTTACATGACATTTATATAAATCTATACATATAATAAAACTGTAGACGTCAAATGTCTGTAGATAGAAAAAAAAAATGCTACAAACTGAGTCAGGGGGATGTTAGAAGTAAAATAGAACACATCCAGATTTTGTTAAAATTTTTTGTTTCTGTTTGTCTATTTGTCTGTTTGTACGAGCTAGTCTCCGAAACTGTTGGACAGATTTAAATGAAATTTGCATGGTGGTACCTTACATCCCCGGTAAATATTTTAGATACTTTTAATCATGGAAAATTAAAAAGTTCCTGTGGGATAGTTAAAAAACTATAGTAACTTATATAAGCTATATAGCTTAGTACATAACCTACTTAGGTCATTTTGACCTCAGGCAGATTCTTATTTTTTATTATTAGTTTTGGTTCAGTATTCCCAGACATAATAAATAGATAGGTTCATACATCGATACATACTAACACGCAGACAAGTCTGGGGCGTCAGCTAGTTTTAAATAAATAAATATGAAATTTCATACATTGATGTTTTTTAGTTTATTCTGCTAAATAATCTGATTATTGTAAATCAAGTTTGTATAGGACTTCCACTAGCCCTTTAACCTTTAGTTAAGCTTTGCCAGACCACTCATCCACCATTTTTTTGTTACATACATAATATTACATGAACACTCCCAAATAAATAAAAGCAGTATTAAGAAATATATTACCTTCTGTTGTATTGTATTCTGCGCTTGGCACGGCCAGTCTTCTTCTTCTTTTTTTGTTGTTTTTCTACTTTTGGTGTCTGACCCTTTACTTTGCCTAAAAAAAGAAGAAAAATATTTATCAATATTTATCAGTACACAAACTCAGAAATTAGAATTATTTATTAATTATTTACTAAATCTAAAACCTTTACTACAATAATTAGGATAAAAATATAATATTCATGGCAAGTACTGAGATTCCTATTTTTTAATCTTTCATATAAAATAGAAACTCCAGTACTTACACATAAAATAAAAAAAAGTCTAGAAATCCTTGAACGAGAGGATGACACCCACATATGTAGTATAAGTGGATATCTTTAAAACAAGAAAATTGTCAAATATCAAGTCAATCTCAAAGTAACAAATTACTCACCAGCACGAGCCAAAGAACCGTGCACTTTACCACCAAGAAGTGGAATTGTAAGGTCAAGTTCTGTAGAATCCAAGTCTGATACAAGGCAGGAATCATCAAGAGGAGCTCCACATGCTGACAGTGTTAGCTCTTCAGCACCAACCTCAGCTAAAGCTCGAAGACGATCCTGTAAAAATTTTTAATAATATTTTAAATAAGGAATTTCACAACTGACTCTTGGCCACAACAGAATATTAGTGTTTTGCTCTTTTGAGGGCAAAGCAATAAACTGAGTTGTAACCATTTTGTATTACTATAGCACACACATGAAAGAAGAAAAAAGAAATTGTTGTTTTATATATTTTGCTTTTTTTTTCATTTTTTTATCTCTTTTACTGTCTTTTATATGTTTGTATTGTAATTTGTGTGCTGTAAGTAATGTAAATAAATTATCTATCTATCTATGATTAATAATATATGAGCATACAGCCTGTCTAGTGGTAAATGGTCACTGTAGCCTACAGACGCCTGTACCACTAGAAGTGTCACATGTATATTGCCAACCCTGAAGAAACCTTAATATGACCATTTTGAAGAACTCAGTGCTGTAATTTCTAGGGAAAGAAAACCTCAGCAGGGAGCTCATTCTACAGCCTGCGCATTCAAAGGAGAAAGGGAACTTTACTTATACATGTAAAAAATCTGTTCCTTGAAATATTTAATGAACAAAAATAATGTAATGTGTTAGTTCTAAAATATAATTTATGGAGTAATGTATTTATAAATGTTGTAAGCAAGGGTAGACTTATCTCTGACAGAGATCTTTTCCAGTCAACCCAGTATAGTAAGAAAGCATTTCTTTGTGGACAGCTTAAGTGCTACAACTATTAATACATAAATATCTACTCAATTAATTTTTAAACTTCTTTCACCTATAGAAAGTAACATTATCAACAAGGAGTGTAAGATGTATACTATTTTAGAAAATTTGACATCTAATTATCTTTGAAAGCCAGGGTAAGTCACCAATTATTAGTACATTTAAATGTTGAAATGTTAATTATAAATAATTGTAGCCTGCATGCCATTAAATTATTTATTAGACTATTTAGATACATTAAACTAATTAGACCCTATTGGTCTAAACAATTATAAATTTATAAGTTATTAAATAACATGAAAAATCTACAGATTAAATACCACGATATTGTCATAAGCAGAAGAATCAGAATATTTATTTACTACTGATTAATTTATCAATTTAAGATTCTTTACCTTAATTTGTCCAATGGATTCTTCTCCACTGACATCTAGCACGTGCGTTGATTGTCCTCTAATGTGTAGCTGCATTTTGAGGCTTCTAGAAAAAGAAACGCACAATATACAGCGTGGTCACAACCGAATTTTCACAATTAAAATATAACTTATCACTTTATTTGTATGTGATTTATTATTTTTTCATCGATAGAACACAATACTTTTGATAACATAAACTACTAAATTGTAAGTGCAAAGTTCTTTAATAAATAAAAAGACAAAATTGTAAAATTACTAACCTCAATACTCGATTCTGACAGGAGAAAGAAATTATATGGCGACAAGGCACCGGAAAAGGATATCTACCATAGAGCTTTGTTTTTAAATTTATTAAGACTTTGACTTATAAGTAATCAGCTTATAGTCACATATAACAAAACATTATTAAATACAAAAAAAAAATCAGGAAGAATCTTAGACTCAGTATAATTTACTACGTACTAATGGACTAACAATACGATTACAACACGACACGAAAATGTGATTACTCTTCCACACGTGAAATGTAAATATGAAAATGGATGCATATGGATCAGTACTGCACTATGCACACTCTATCGTTAGATGATTAATCAATTCTGTATACGACAGTAAATCAAAACTCGAAACTTTCAATTTCATTTAAAATTAATAATTATTTATTTAACTTTAGTACTACGTACAATTTATCGCATGTGTACATGTGATAAATTGTACGTAGTATATACATATTATGTAATTTGTAAAATGATTTCATTTTTAAAAATTAAATACCTTTGTAGACTTTATACAATATATGATATTATAAATTAACTACTAATTGGAATTGGACTAATTTGGAAATATTATTTTTTTATCTAATATATTATTATAGTCCCAAAAAAAATATTATTATAGTCGCTTCAATAATTTAGTCTTTAAATTAAAATAGTTTTACCATAATCAATTTATGAATACATTGCAGTTCTGTCTAAAGTCTGAGGTACTTTTTCTAGGAATTTATTTTCATATTTTTTTTTTTTATTACCAGAAAAAGAGTTTATACAAAAGTCGTCTAGTTGGGTACTTATGTGCCATTCATACCTTTGCCATAAAACAGTTGTATTTGTATGGCTACGTTTCAGTTTAAAAGAGGAATTACAGTTTATTCTTCAGGAATGGCAATGCATGAAGGATATCACGGGTAACATAACATATTGTGTTATGTCCATGGTATTGTTCATACGAGAGGAGGTCAAAAAGTTCATGAAATGAGGGGGAAGGGGGTTGAAATTAAAGATGAAACTATTATTCCTTTTCAATATATTCTCACTTAACCTTAGTAATTATACCATTGAGAAAAAAAGGTTTACGAGTATCTTTGCTGTTAAAATAGGCCGAAATTGCAGACTTGACTTTTCATCAACACCAAATTTTTATGATCTCAACTCCTTTTTTATTTTTGGAAATAAATAATAGTCGCTGGGGGCAAGTCTAGGCTGTAAGATGGTGGTCTAATTTTTCAAACGCGCATCGGTGAATGGCAGCCGTCGCAACATGGCACGTGTGGACGGGAGCGTTGTCGTGCAAAAGGAGCACACCTTTTGACTTTTCCTCTTCTTTTTTCCTTGATAGCTTCTTTCAATCTGTACAGTAAAGAAGCGTAGTACTGTTCCATTATAGTCACACCACGATCTTTATAATCGATCAGTAAAATGCCTTTTGTATTCCAAAAGATAGTCACCATGATCTTTCCGGCTGATTGTGACACTTTAAACTTCTTCGGGGGAATTGTGCCTTTTTTATGCCACTGCATCAACACTTGCTTCGACTCAGGTTCATAGTGGTAAACCCAGGTTTTATCTCCAGTAACAATCCAGACCATAACTTCTTCTCTACTCTCTCCTCAGAACTCTAAAAACTGGCGAGAACACTCGACACGCTCAATTTTTTTAAGTAGCCCGAGCATTCTTGGAACCCATCGTGCACTGACCTTAGTCATGCTAAAATAATGATGTAGAATATTTAAAATACTTGTTTCGGATACTCCAACCATTGCTTCTAGCTGCTTCTTCTTTAGCCAGGTTTCTTCTAATACAAGTTTTTCTACTTTTGCGATGATTTCCGATGTGGTGGCCTTAATTGGCCGTCCGGAGTGGGTCATCTTCAATAAACTTTCTTCCTTATTTGAAAAGACCATGCCACTTGTAAACCATAGTTTTATCAGGGGCAGAGACCGCGTAAATTGCTAACAGCTCTTAAAAAATCATCTGAGCGGATTTTCCTTACTTGGTGAGGAACTTAATAACGGCACGATGTTCAATTTTCTTCATACTCGCTGACTTTTTCCCGATTCACTTGTTTGCAGGTCGATAACTCAAAAGTGAATGGCCGATTTGGTTCAAACTTGGTATATATACTCTTAATGAGGTGCTTAACAAGTGACTATCTGGACGAGTAAACTACCCCCCACCAACCCCTCCATTCCGCAAAATTTTTGACCTCCCCTCGTATCTACAGACGATGGTTACCTTTTTATGTTAGATAGGCCATGAGCTTATTTGAAAAAATTTCAATGTACTAATGTTTTACCTTTAAAACAGAAACACAAATAATATGACAAATAAAGAAGTATACCCCTTTCGATTAATAAAAGACTTATCAAAATCGATTTACAATTAATAAAGATATTATGTAATAAACACACAAAAAACATAGTTGAATTGAAAAATATTAATGTCAACACAAAAAATAATAATAATATATCTTTTATTTATTCTTCTTCCAAAAATAATTATTCCAATATACTAAATTGGCATCTTTACTTTAATCAAAAATTATAAAATATATTGTGAATGACAAAAAATTTACATATTTTGAATATAGGTATTGCGATATAAAGGAATAATGTAAAATATATCGCTGGAATTCAGAATATTACTTTATGTCATAATATACAAGAAGCCTTTGATAGGTTTAAATAAGATTAAAATTAAAATTTTGTATTAGAAATGATTAACTATGATATAATTTTATTTATTTATTTATTTATTTTTTGCTTCTGTGAACAATTAAAAATATTTTTAATTATTTGTTTTAATATATATAATAAATGTATACATAATAACATATTATAGCTGTATATATATATATATATATCTGTCTGTTGTCTTTGTTAATTTTGTTAGTCGATTCAATCGATTAGAAATTAATGACACTTATTGGCAATCTCTAACAATTTGAAGTTAAAATTTGTAGATATTTACGTATTTGTTATTATTTTAATTTGGATACTTGAAACTTCAAAGTATTAATTAATTTAAATGTGGCCAATTTATCTGTCGATTTATTTACAAAATATTTGTTATAGTTCTAAATATTGTATTTAAATAAGTGAAATATGTCGAGCATTTATATGTAAAACATGAAATTGTAAATGTTTCTCTGTTATTTATATTTCATTCAGGTAAAGCACACATAATTCTAACTAATTACATTCACGTAAAACTAATTTCAATTCAATACGTAAAATTAATTAAAAATTATCTTGTTCATATTTCCGACGAAACAGCTTCAAGCTATTGTTGTGCAAATAAATATCCGATTGTCTCTCTCTCTCTAACATACAAGTTATTGTATTTTTGTTTCGGACATTGCCAATCTATATACTTTATAATCTAAGGTCAAAAATATATTTCTCTGCTCTGTGTTTGAGATATACCTATTGTGTGTAATTTGTGGTAGATTGAGCCACAGATTGTAGTGTCTATGTCTAAATGTCTAAAGATTGATCTGTCATATTCATCATAGAAATACTGTTAACTATCATATTGTATCCACATAAATAATAATAATAATAATAAAGGCATCTTGTATTAATGATAGTATATTATTACAATAAACAATACAGGAGAAGTTGTTTCATAATAGAGATGGAGGTTTTGTTTTCTTTGGATGAACCAAGTAACCTGTGGTTTCACCGAGAATGGCGCCTATTTCTATTCTATAGAAATAGGGCAGATCAAGGAAAAAGGTGTCGTGTCGTATCAAGAAGTAAAGAGACTCGCTGAAAATAATAGTGAACGGCAAGAGTTCCGCCGATAAGGGCGAAGCTCTTAAATAAGAAATGAAATGGAAGGATTCCAGTCACCATAGATTGAGAACAATATCTAAAACTTAAATAATAAAACTAGATCAAAAACAGTCGATCTTCTGTCACTTAACCATAGATATAAAGAGATCCTATACTATGATTCCACCCGCAAGCTCGTGATTGGTGTGTAAAAAACGGGTGACGAATATAGTTACCATCTCAATAAAAAATTTTTAGCTAAATCGTATTTACGTTTCGGCATATTATAGTAGAAATTTATTTTTTGATTTAATTATCAATTTTCAAAAACAATTGGACAATTTTGGTTGAATATTTAAAAAGTGCTCTGCTAGCAAATTAAAACGTTAATTATGTAATGATATTCTTATTTTTTTTGGCAAACTCCAAAAGGTAGAGCTAAAAATATAACGGGCTGGACAAGCATAAAAAGGGCTTCATAGAACCTCAAAAGGGCTAAGTTGGCAACACCGTTCGTAATGCTGTTCGCTGACTACTGGCCGGTTGCTAATATTAATTTTACAGTAATAAAAATTATAGATTATTAATAATGATAAAATAGAAGTGACTAAACGTCGTTGTTAACGCAACACCTGTATATAAATCTTATCATGTTGTCACGATTGCTTAGACAATTTTTGTATAATCTCATACATTTAATTGTGAGTGTACTTGTTGCTGTTCAAAATGTTTATCATCAATTTTGGGATATCAAGTCCAATTTATTTAAAAGCGAAGTCACAAATAATGATATCAAGATTATTCTGAAGCTTATTACAAAAATGAACAAGAAGCTCAATCATTTAGTGATTTTAGCGGACACTGATCATCATTCACTCGCAGACCTCGCTCGAGTGGTAATTTGGAGTCTCATAGCTGGAATACCTTACGTTAGCTTTCATGATATCACAGGTATACTAACCTTGTATATAAGTCTCTCATTTTCGACTTGAAGCTATTTCTTAAACTGTTTCAAATACGCGATAGAAAAATTTTGGTACGAGCGGGGTTTTTGAACCCACAACTTGTATGCCATGCCACTTTACTTATCAGATGAGCTTCATTTTGTTCTTTTGAGGAGGTTGTAGGACAAAAAAGTGCGATTTTGAAATAATGGGTGAAGAACAATGATTCACTGCACCTTTATTAATATGTATAAAAAAGAGGAAATATGTTACAAAGTGTTGTATGGTATACTTCAGGACTTCTGCAAATAGTTGACATGTTGTATGTAAAAAATATTTTAATTCATCTAAAGATTACTTATTACACACGTCTGTGGAATATTTTGTTGAAGTTTTTCCTAAACTGTTAATTTTTGTTACCTTACAAATTAAAGAAAATTATATCCATAAAATATACACCACAAAATATTTACTTTGTTTCTGAAAAAGGCTGAAAAAAAGAACATATTAATGTCTTCTATATATCATTCAGCAACGACCCACCATCATATTACTTTGCTAGAGAGCTTTTTCTATGTCTATATCTTTTTACATCTTAATGAAACCATTTGCAGTTTGCTACTGTAATTGTCTAGATTTTTTATTGAAAAGAATTATTATGAAGCTCCAAAAAATTTTTTTATTTTTTTATTTTACCTACCACTTTTCATTAGGTGGGCTCTATCAACTTGTTTGCCATTGTAAGTTGCATAAAAAAAAGAAATACTATTATTAACAACACTATAAATTAGTACAATAAATTATATTCTATTATTATAAACACTTTTTTCTTTTTAGGTAGACCATTGAGTGTCACATTGTTCTGATTGTAGAATCATATATACATAGATATTACTTTAATTACTAGTTTATATCTGTAATTTATTCTTTTAGGTGAATTAAGACACAATGAAGAGAAATTATTTCGTGAAGTGGAACGAAGTAAAAAAGGAATACCTGGTTTCATTAAGTGGTCTAAAATGCCAGATTTAAATGGCTACACCAATGGAGTTCAAGGGCATACAGTGGTAATAAATATATTTTCAAATTCTGATGGACGACCAACTATCGCACAATGTATACAAGATATAGCAAAAGGGACAGTCCATTGTGAACGGAAATCTAGTGAATATAGTGCACAAGAACTAGGAAAAACTTTAGCATTATATTATCCTTCCATTCCAGATCCAGATTTAATCTTATACTCTGGATCATTATGTTGTACAAAAGGCCTATTACCATGGCAAATAAGATTAGCCGAATTTATTCAACTTTCTTTAGATTATCATATAACTATTGACAGCTATGTAAGTGCTTTGTATAAATACAATAAATATGATCAAAGATTTGGTAAATGAAAGTTATTACATGCTGTTATGTATATACTAAAAATAGGCCTAAGTGTAAGTATTTATATATTGCTATTTTAAACGGAGGTATAAGAAAAAATATTCTTGTTATCCTATGAGGCATTTCTCGATTATTTTTGTTGTGGTAAATATAATACAACATGCCCATATTTCGTCAAATATTTAAATCCAATGTGGAGTCAGTAGTCAGAGTAATCCAGTTGTTGATGAAATTTTCAATCACTGGAAAAGTTGTCAAAGAAAATGTATAGTTTTTAGTGTAGGCCCAATTTAAACTTTAAAACATTGGGGTATGAAAGTTGGGAAAGTATATCATTAGGCCAAGTAAATATAAACTTCCACAACTGAATTTAATAATAAAAAAAGATTTATTTATTTAGAACAAGTTACAATGTTTTGTTATAAACAGAACAAAAAAAAATTTTTATTGAGTAGTTGTGGGTATATCAAACCGCTTACAGTACTTACTTTTTTACAGCCATTGTACCTCTAAAATATAATCTTTAAATTCCATTTATAATGAAAATGTATTAATTTATTTATCAAATATATTCTTTATACTGTGCCTAAATAATAATAATCAAATTCTACATGGTAGTCATTAGTACTATCTAGCAATTGTAATTTATTAGAATACCTGTAATAAATAAATGCTTTTAGGTACAAAATATGTGGTATATTATTTTAAATTAAAAAAACCAGCTGAGTATGGAAAGCCATGTAATGGAATACCATTACATATTATTATATTATCTATGCTACAGTGGCCTGTACAGAGGAGTAGATGACTCAAGTCATCAATTTAATGAAAATTAAACATGTCATTTTTAATTACTTGTAGTGACGACTTCCCTAATGTAATGTTATGATGCTTTATAAATGAGGTCCCAGGTTTTATTGTTCGAAATAATTTAGAATTTTTTTTTTTTTTGTATTGGCTTTGGTCTGTATATTCCGAGTTGTTCCTTTAAATTTTCGTTGCCTGGGTCCTCCCAGGTGTGATCGTGTGACACTTATTACTATAGTAATATTAATAAGCAATTAAAATCAGAGTTGGACTTAGTTGGCGCCCCTCCCCTGAGGAAAGAAACCGAGATCAGCATCTTTTACTCGAGGTGGTGACTTTGATTCCTGATGTGAAAAAAAGTCATCGTGGATTCCCACTGCTCACTCTAAAGTAAAATTTCTTTCTTAGATCTCAGTGCGATATCGAATGCTTAAGCAGCACCGCGCCGTTAATTAGAAATGCAACTTATCGAAAAATGAGTCTCATTTAAGTTCAATGACTAATCGCCCGGTCGAAACCTTTAAAATATTTTGACTCGTACATTTTTAGTCGTTGGATGATGGAGGGGCGTGCCATGTTATCGCGACAATCTATACTGATTAAATATCTTCTATTTTGTCGGAAATAAGATAAATGAAACGTAAAATTTCGTGTAATAAAATTTTATTTGTTGGAAAAGGTAATGAATTCATGAATTGTAGTGCACACTAAAATACTATAGACAAATACTTGAATATGTACACGCGAAGCAAGCATAATCGCCCGACCTGTAAGAAAATAAATAAAATAATATATCACAATTTTCACATTTTTAAAGACTTCATAAATCTCTTCTCTATAACATTTTTTTTTTTTTGTATAGAAGGAAATGTTACAAATTGCGGTGGAACAAATATTAGATATCTGAATTTTATATATTATTTACAACTATTGCACAGTAAACACGTATTATTATTTTTATGGGACACAGAAGCCTCCTTGTATTGTATATCATATCTGGGAAATTACATTCATTGTATTCCATATTTTCTATCTACACAAACAACATATATGAATATATAGAAGGGGGAACTTTACTATAATGTTAATTCAATATAAATGAACATAATAGTATATATTCGTAACATAATTTTAGAATATCTAGAAACGTGCCTACGGAAGATATTTCTCGTTATTTTTAATTGAAATACGAAATAAGTATGTCAATAGCAACATGCGAACAAAATAAGTATGGATGTTACGCAGATAAAATTATTGTCGACAAAAAAGAAAACATACTAGATACATTAACTACCTATCTATATACCGAAATCCTATGTTCTTTAAATTTCTTAATAAAGTATGTCAAATAAACATTGTTTTTATAAAAAAAAAAGTATGGTGTTGCAATAACAAAACACCTTATTGTTCTGAGTTCAAAATACATGTCGTTGTCACATTAAAATCACTTATTTGTAAAAAAAAAAAAAGCAGTCAAATACCGAGCAAAGGTCAAGGTTATTTCAAATTTACTTCGAGCAAAAAACATTTTTAATATTTCTGATATCTCTCATCATCAAATATAAGCAAAATTGAGTATGATTTAACTATACATAATTATTTACATGTTGCACACCATAACAAATGTACACTATGTGTTTAAACAACTGAAGATACAACCTGCAGCATTTGTAACCTGATGTTCATCGGCGGTGTCGCGAATGGCTGCCGCTGCGCGATCGCCGCCGGTCGTGCTCCCTAGACCGCTCATACCTATCGTACTTGTAGTCTCGGCTCGACCTCTCGTAAGACCTGTCCCGCTTCGAACTATCCCTGTCGTAAGACCTCTTCTCTCTTCTCCGCGAACGATCCTCGGAACGGTCGTGGGAACTTCTCCTCCGGCCTAACCGCGAATCGTAGCTGGTAGATCGAGATCTCTTCGCGCGCTTCCTGGGTCGTTCATCGTCGGACTCATCCCTATATTTATCTTTATGCGACCTCTCATAATCCCTACTCTTCGTCGATTTATGCCTATCATAATAATCGTCTTTCTTTTTCTTCGATTTCTCATAGTCATCCTGGTGTCGCGATTTAGAATAAGAGTTTCTGTCGTCAGACCTATATTTGTCTTTCTTTTGTTTTTCCTTTTTGGATTTCTTTACAGAGTCATTAGAACTAGATCTGTGTTTGCGTTTTTTGGAGTGTTTACTTCCAGATTTAATTTCCACTTCGCTCTCTGAAGAGGAATCTTTAGAGCTGGAAGAAGAATCGTCTTCCGAATCACTGGATGACGCAGAACTGCTTTTGTGGTTTATTTTATTACTACTTTTTTGAGGACTAGGCGTGTAATCTTTCTTGCCTTGCCTTTTAGGTTTCTCCTCAATTATAGTTTCTAATTTCCTAATACCATCAACCCTGTCATTCGATTTATGATTATTCCGTTTGTCTTTAGAAGAGCGACGTTCTGTAATCTTTTCCGGAGTGTCATTGTCGATCGGGGGAGGGGTTGCCGATGAACCTGTAATTAGTATTATTTATGTTGCAATCTGTTGTTTCACCATTTATCAGTATTTACGCAAGGTGAGCAATACAGATAACACTGATAACAAACAATTGTATTGGGTTACTGATTAGTAATATTTATTTATATACTGTTATCAATTTTAGTAACCAAATGTGTATCAATTTAGGCTTATTGCTATGCTGACTTACTTCTGAGAGCATACACTGACAGTTAATTAGATTAGGATGCAATCACTTAAAGTTACGCTTTTTCATTTTGGTGATAGGTTAGAATATAATATTGTCATCACTCATATAAAACCAAATAGATGAAAAAAGTCTCAGAAAATATAGCACAATATAATAGCGCAGAGTTCTAGTAATAAAACTACATACCAATTCACTAGTTAGTTAGTTAATGTGTCACTAATATCCTCCGTTAATGGGAGGAATTTGTGACAGCAATGGGACAATAATGGGTTGATATGGCATTTTAAATATTTCAAAACACATTATATAAATTTTAATCCTATCCTATAATTATTATAAAAAATGCTAAACTCGTGTACTAAATTTCATTCAAATTCAACAGAGTAGGTTATAACCTAAGTTATTACACAGAATATATACTGCTTCACGCAGGTGGAGCAAGAGGACAGCAGATTTCAAATATTTTAACAATAGTACGTACCGTAAGAATGATTTTTTTTAGTTGTCTTCAAATTATAATTTTTAATCTACAATTAGTTTAAAACTAGAAATAGTGAAAAATTACAGTTAAGATGTTGTCATACTTTTCGTCATAAATACTCTAAAAGAATATCGAAGTGCAGTTCACTTACGTGACTGCCTCGGCCGGTCTGGCGTGGCGCCACCTGGCGTGGACGGTTCGTCGGCTTCTCGAAGCTCGGCTCGCCGCACCTCAGCCTCAATCTCCCGCGATGTCCGCTCGAACTCCTGCCTCTTCCGTTTTATTATTTCCTGCGCACACACAATTCAAAATTTAAAGGATTGATGTAAAATTGTTCTTAATACATGTCTATAAGTTGTTTTAACTCTTGTATTAATTATAAGTGCTACACTTTTGTACAGGTATAAATAAATAAATGTAATTTTGAAAAGAAATAATATCTTAAACAACAGCCTTCACACATCTCGAATAAAATATGTTTATTTTGAAGAGTATTAAGAAAAACAAAATTACTAACGCTACTCTTAAGTTTAAAATTCTTCAAAAACATAAAATGTAAAAAAATGCCATGCCTCGCAACGCAGTTTTTACAGTACAAAAAGTTATATGATCTCATGTAAAACCAAGTCAGTTATTTCAGTTAGTGTCTTTGAAAAATCATATCAATATTAGACAGCTTTATTTCTATAATAATTATAACTTCATAATTGCATGTTATCATAATTATAAAAAAAAAAAAATCTAAAATAATTTAATTTAAATATAGTGGTTTACATCTATTTATGTCTAGACATGAAGACAGATGCCAATAACCTTACCTGCAACTGCTGATCAGTTAAATCATTCCGTTCGTCTTCGTCCCCACTCCCCTCGCTGCTGCTCTCGTACGCGCCCAGTCCTGCACACATACACTAACAATAACACTATGTTGTTGCGTACAGGACTTCGGCAATGACCTAATTTGCCATTTTTACAGGTTATTATAATTTTTTAATTCACATATAGTATTGTGAAAATGTGTGCGTGTGTGCTGTGTGGCCACCTTTTTTTAACATATTGGTCAATAAAATTTAAATAAATAAAATCTATCATTTTGTTTAAGTTTAATGTCAATGGATTTGAACGAAATTCAGCTGATAGATTGTCTATATCTAGGATGAAAACAAGAATACTTTTTATCGTAATTAATAAGTGCTTTATAAAGCATATACATTATTTGATAGGTCGATCCCTAAATAGTCTTGCCAAGTTTCTGATTAGGTTAATTTAAACAAAAAACAGTGAAATTCCTTCTCATTGTGTATATACGATGCTTTTGGTGTATATAAATGAATTGTATTAAAAATTGTCCAATTCAGTACTTGAATAATAGTAAACAGAAGATTAAAGTGAAAATCCTGTATCAATGGCAAGTTACGTCAAACCGGAGCAAGATAAAAACAATTATACATGAAAACGATAAATATATGTACATATATTTTTATCTATAACATCTAAAGAAAACTCTGTATTTTTCTTACCAATTTATCCACTAAACACAATGATGTGTAACATTGTCGATTTATATGTGTATTGCCAAATTAGTCAATACTAGAATAGGTTATCTGACGCGGCATGGCTGAAATGGAAAATTTTTGAACGCACAATGGCAGTTTTCTCCAAAAGCAAATTTTAGCTTTCTTTATTAATTACAGACGATTGACGAATACGAAATAAAAAACGGCCATTGACGTGAAAGTGGAACGATCTGGCAAACATTCTGATACCAATAACATTGTTAATTCACATCTTTTTATATTGTATTATAAATTGTTACTTACATAACAAATTGAAAAATATATAAAATATGAATACAGCAGAGTTACATGCCTGTTCCACAACGAGCGTGCTATAAATAGATTAGGACAGTTTGCGAGACATTTCCGTGGGCCTAACGTTAGGAAGGCAACTTACCGAGCCCACTGGCGATAGCGGCGAGTGCCTTGGACTTGCTTGCCTTCATGGCGTTGAGGCGCGATGCTTTTACCATATAAATAAAACCAACATTAATCACACACACCAAATGTATTCATACAACTGGCAACATCTGAAATAAGACTTCATTAGCGATGAAATAAGACACAATTTGGCACATCACATTTCTTCAAGTTCACAAAAAATAAGCTCAAAACGTGAGCTAAAAAATACACAGTGTAAGATCACAGTATCAGTCAATACACAAATGTTTCTCGTTCTATAGAGTAATGTCTTGGCATAGAGCGTCGGGCCGTTTGGTATAAGCCTATATGAGTGGAAATACCTTGTGCGGCAGTATACCGGGCCATTTCTTCCTGGCTCACCATATGAATCTCATGGTCTGTCACCTCAAGCAGGATTTCTGTAAGTGACCGACGGACCGCCAACATCTGATAAATAAGCAATTGATTTTTAACATCATGATCAATTCTATGTGTAGCTTTGAAGTCTGGAACCCGATATGACATGACTTTAAAGGAAGCGAATGCTGAAATGACTGCAAGTAAAGAAGGATACAAGACAAAAATACAGACCACAAATAATTGGGACAAGGACAAGAAAATAATAACCATTTATATGTTTGATGACAAATAAGAATACAATGTGTTATCAGTTCTTTTTAGTTGTTAACAGTCATTAAAGGAACACAGTACACTAAAGTACTAGAAAAAAAAAAATCAAAATAAATCCATACAAAGCCATCTGGCTTGCATCTTTAATATTTTAAAATATGTATGTCTTAAATAAATGTATATTCTACAACAGGCTTCATGCTTTACCACTTCCTGCATGATCTCCTCTTTACTCCTCTTGATTAGATGAGGCTGCTCTCGTTCTACACTTGCTTCCTTGGCATCTGCTTCCTCCTGGTCTGCTAGAGTAGATGATGGCTTTACATCTTTTTCTGATTCTTCACCATCTGAATCCGATTCCTGCATTAGAAATATTAAAAATTTAAATGATCAGGATTAAGTACATATGCCAATTGGCAAGTCAACTACTTTTTAATAAAAAAAAGTTTTCCAAAGTACCATTAGGAAATAAAATTGTTTCTTTAAATTTTGAGAAGTAGTACAGATGTTGCCAGTATGAAATCTTGAAGTATGAAACTATCTAACAAAATTCTGGTAATTATTTGGTCCAGTTTTACAAATTTTGCAAAAAGCTGCAAAAATTATAATGATTCTACAGTAATTCTATGATTGCAACACATTGGATTTTGCAAAACATACATAAATAAAAAAAAAAAAATAGAATTTTAACTTACAAATTTGCTCTTGGGTGGTGGTAAGGGTTGTCCACTTGCCTCAGCTTTCATTCTCTCTAATTCCTCTTCTTCTAATTTCTTTTTCTGCTTTTCGGCTTCCTCTCGCGCCTGTTTCTCCTGCTCCCTTTCTATTGCTTTTTGTTTCTCACGCTCCATTTTTTCAAGACCTTATTAAAATTAAAATATTAATTCTCTTTTTAAATGAATTAAGTAATAAAAAAGTTTGTTCTTTTTAAATGTAGATGAGCACTAATATGGGACTAACATTGTTCAGGCAGTGATTGGTAGTCTGAACAAAATTTTTAAAATACATCTTTTGTCTACATTTTTATTAGATTATATAGATTAATAGTAAGGGTTTTATCTATTTTTTTCATAAAGGAACAGAAGACAACAGTGAAGTGGGTAATATTTTAAATGATTAAATATATAGTTAATTTCAAATATTAACTTTGTTTACATATGTTTGAAATTCACAATCGGGACTTAACGCGTTTGCAAATACAAATAAATAGTACATTTATATCTTTTATTGTTGTTGACGTTTCAATAAGGAAGATGGATATAGACTTTCAAAAGCATGAAACACAGTGATTTAATATACTCAAGTCACGCGACAATTTATTTAAACATAATGAGGATACCGTGAGTACGGTCTGTGGGGTAAAAGGGGTAAATATAGACAATTACCTCAAGAAATTGCACTGACTGTAAAAAAAAGACGTCACTTACGATACGTCAGCAATAAAAATCAGGTAGGTACTACTTACCTGCAATCCCTTTGAGATGGGTGCCTATCGTAATTTAAAATATTAAACATACCTTCTCTTATCCATGCTGGCAGTTGCCTTCGTTTAGCTGCATCAATGGTGGGCGTTGGCATCGCCGTAGGAATTACTATAGGTTCTATTACTGGCATCATCATTGGCGCCTTATCCCTGTTAGGTAAACAATGGTAAATTAAATTATTGTGCAGTGGAATGAAAATACAGTGTTACTATATTTTTTTTAACACCTGGATGTTATAACCATTCACAAAAACCAGTGTAAGAGAAGGAAAACTTGACACAAAATTCTACTATGTGAATTAGACAGCACAGTTAATATAGGCTAGTATGTATATATATACTTTGAACACTATATAAGCAACCTCTCTAATAAGCAACATTTTTCATATTTTATATATTGTACTTAGCTTAGTTAGTAAAAGAAATAAGTAAAAATATTTTCCAGATGGTAAGTATTTTTATACTCCTTTTTTCCTATAAGCGACATTTCCCAATAAGAAACTTTTTTTATTGAAATTGGTTCAAATGAGTTGCTTATATAGTGTTCACTGTATATATATATATTCCATTTTATGACAAAACACCAGAACCCAAAAGCCGATTATAATTATTATCTAGGATACGAATGGTCAGAAGGTAGTTTTTTTAATGGATGAAAATGGAATGGTAACCTCATCTGTACTATCGGTATACACTGGCAGGGCACCAGTGTAGGATAATAAGTGAGGTTGAAAGCAGGTCAGTCTCTGGCCATTGTGACAAATTTTAAATTAATTAAACACAATGGTTTCCAAGCGGAACCATGACCTGATAGGGTATATTGCCAGTAAAGGGGTTGAAAGAGCCCCTGACTATAAATTCTTTTCCCCGGGTCAGATGGTGTCAATGAAAGTCAACAAAATATTATCTCTATTAAGTTCTCAGGGATCTATGTTATGGATATAGGATTTCCAATAATTTTACATTCACATCATATTAGAAGATGTGAAGCACTGATATTATTTGAATAAAAAAAAAACTTTATATTAAAAGAGGAAGAGATAGGTCCAGTAATACAGTTAAATTGATATTTGATATATTCATTCATTTTTAAACTTGATTTTGTGCATCTTACTAGATGCACAAAATCAAGTTTAAAGATATACATTAAAAATGATATTTTTATATCACATGCAGGCCTATATTATCATATTAATTCCTAAGGAACTACAGTGAAGTTCATTTAATAAACCATTAAATATATATTCCTTGAAAGGTACCTTTGACTTCTTGAACTTCTTGAAGACTTGTGATCACGATTCTTGCTCTTAGATCTTCTATCCCGGCTGCGGCTGCTTCCTCTACTACCACTGGAGGACTCTACCTGTGGTGCAGTCCAGTATCCATGCTGGAATGTTGGTGCTGGTACAGCATTAGATGTGTATCTGAAGAAATAATATCATACATATGATAATGAATAAGTTGTATAACCAATATATGTACATATTTATTTAAGTTTAAGCCTATCTGTTTCACATTTATATAAACAAAAATTAATTACTGTTTGTATGTAAACACACCATTTGGAGATTGGCTGCATTTATTTATTTCTTTTTTGTTGTTTGTAATTGAGAGTATAATGTCTATATAAAAGAAAATGTTTTAAAAATCTGGCTACAATTAAAATATAATTGTAATTATATTAAAAATTTAAAAAACAAAGTTTTAGATTTTCTAGATATTGTCTTCATTTATATTTAACTAGCAGCCTGGTACATGCTTCGCTATGTATAACATGAAATAACATTTTTTTTATTTTAACATCAATATCACTGACAATTTGCTTTAATCGAAGCACATCCAAGATGAAATGACTGCATGAATGATATAACATGCTTGTACTGTTAACATTGGAAAAAGTTTCAATATGACAGCACAATCCCTATCTTAAAAAAAGTTTGTATCTGACAAAAAAATCCCCATTAACAAAAAGATCCACCATTTATTGAATTTATTTGTTACAAAAAATGTGATAAATGAAGAACTGTTAGACCGATTTTGATATATTGGATAGGTGAGCCCGTTCTTGAGTTATAAAATTATAATGAAAAGTGGCATTAGTTAGTGGCATAAGTTCTTGAAGAAGAAAATTGGTAAACAAATATGTTTGTTTTTAATTAATAATAAGTTATTCATAAGTTATAATTTGACCATACCTCTTATAGCAGGGTCCAAATATTGCACACACTCGAATAAATGAATAATCATTGCAAGAATCCATGAGTTAAGCAATTTTATTAATAAAGTAACTTACCCTGCCATAGCAGTAGCACCATCTTGTGGTACAGTATAACCATCCATGAGAGGTGCCATGGCCATAGAGTTGTCCGTCACCATCTTAGGGTCCACAGCTCCAGTTCCAGGCCATCCCCATCCTGGATGTAACATGATTAACAATTAAATCTTTAAACATGCAATTTTAAGCTTTTAAACATTTTAAATTATATAAATACAGCACATTATTCAAACAGTGAAATTAAGTTCTTTTCATTAAAAAAATAATTATTTAAGAAATTGCATTTGGTTGTTTCTGCTGATTTAATTGATATGACATGAAATTAGATCCATATAACAATAAGGATCAACATAATAATTATTTTTATTTTATTTATTTGGTACACATAACAGAAGTTGACAAATACAAACTTAAACTATAACATGCAAGTACATTAATGTATTGATCAGGTGCACACAGTATGATCCAATAATATATTCAACTGCAACATGCAGTTATTAAGCATTTTAATTTTTAAAAATATCATAAACCATGAAAAATAGATCAAAACTTAAAAAAATATAAGCTATACAATTTGAAATACATTAGCTAGTAGTTATAGTTACTAACTCACCCCACTGATTCCAATTGTTGCCCCATGTATTAGTTGTAGAATTCCATTCAGCGCCAGGTGGTACGGGCACTTCAGAATTACCGTCAGGATTCTCTACCTCCATAGGCGCTTCGCCTTCTTCCGTGTCGGCTTTTATCGATGGCGGCGGAGGTGCCGTAACGATTGCCGCAGCTTCTTTCATAGCGATCCATTGCTGAGCAAGGGCGGCCCAATCTACCTGACTAGAGTCTACGTTTTGGTAAGCATTGGGATTTAAGGCCCATTGCGTAGGATAAGCAGGGTTTGCGGCATCCTTGCTAGAGTACATGTTGTGAAAATAAAAATTTATTTACACAGTTTCCTAATTTTTAAACGTATTTATATCGACTATTAATTTAATCACGACATTAGCACCCGTTATTACTATTTAGTACTAAGAAATAAGAAAATGGAAAAATACTTTGATAAATTTGCAAACCATTCTCACATTCTACATTTCCTATTTCACAGACTATATTTTATTTTTTCAGTGGATGTAATTTTTTTTTATTAATATGTTTTACGGCTTTAGATACAAGTCCTTTTAAGCCGATTTCATAATTTAGTATATGTATGTTTTATGGTGTTACTAAATATATTTTTAATTAAAGAGTACACACATATTTAGATTTTAATACAAAAGCATATGTGAAATCATGAAATCAAAGTTTTTGGAATAGATGAAACGCAAAAGTCCATATAGTGTGTTATGTTAGAAAGGGAAAGACATAAAAAACGTATCCGCTGTAGATATCTGAATAAAGTAGCAGGATAATTATTTTACATTATATTTATTACATTTAATTCATTATAATTTAGTGTAAGCACATTTGTACACTGACAGGGATTATGGAAATGTTGCGAAGTTTTTTCAACGACCTTTACCGAAAGCAGCTGGCATGTATATGCGAAAAGGTGGGTCAAGTCACACATACATGCTTATGAATGCGTTTGTTAAGCGTCCTGCGTTATTACCCTACACTGCGTTTGCCTGTACGGGATCGCCACTCAAGAACCTTTCTTTTCTATGTATTATCGGTTCTTTGAGCTATGTGATCAGCCTATTATTCTTAACATAGCCTTGTAGAGAGGAGGCGGGGAAGGGATTGGTAATAATGCGGACTACCAGTAAAATTGCTAGCAATATACCCCTAGTGGTACCCCCTGGAAACCATTGTGCTAAATTCCACATATATTCAGCACGATGGGCTCATTAACCTGCTTTTTCATTTTAACCTATCATCCCTCAGTGGTGCCTTGCCAGCGTATATCATTAGCGTAAATGGGTTTACAATTACATCAGCATCCATTAAAAAAAATATAGCCTTGTAGGAAAGTAATGGATTGTCAGTAATGCGGTCTATCAGTCCCGTTTCTGGCAATATACTCTCAGGTCGACCTCCACGTGACCTCCCCCTGGAAACCATCGTGCTGAATTCCAGGTGTACATGTCACGATGGGCTAACTTACCTGCCCTTTTATCTCACTACATCTCACTCACCATGAACCACGACCTGCACGATGTGTAGTGTCTCTCTATTCTCAGCTGCCTGTCATATAGCTGAAGGTGACGACCGCTTCACAATCTAATCCCGTTTAGCTGCGCAACCAAAATCTAACCTACAGCTGCCTAGTTAATCCTTACAGTCATTACCTCGTTATTGCCTGGTAGAGGTACGGCTTTAACGACAAACCATCTATGGTGACTATAAGACAGGCGTTGTCTATCAACATTGATTGTGATCGATTCGTGGCACTATTTTTTAACCTATTTCTAAAATTTAAATTGTAACAGCGAAATTGTAAGGATGATCATCATTATATTAATGTAATTTGTCTGCTGCTGCTGCTTTTAAGGATAGTTATGAACTAAATTTCTAATTTTTTATTTAGATTTAAGTAAAAATTATTATAATTTTAGTTTATTATGGTCCATAAAGCAGTAATTTTCAAAATTATAAAATTAAAATATTAAGTTGAAAGTTTTCTTTGTGTATAAAGATATGCTGTCTCAGAAGCGGCTTTATTTTGGGTTTTGGTACTATTTTTAATCTATATATTATTCAAATGTCAAACATGCGTCAAATGTTTACTGTTGATGTTGGCATCACTAAACTTCATACTGTCACTTCTAAACTTTTGTAGTTTTTATATATCTAGATAGATGGCGACATAATAGTTTTGCAATGCGATATTAAAATGTTTTACAGTTTAATGACATGTTTCGATCAAAAATTTCACGTTATCGCTTCTCGGCCTTTTGGCTAAGATCAAAGTGTAGTATCTGTTCTTATCAGCTTAATATCTGGTAGTTCCCTCACCGAGGGACCAGTATATTAAACTGATTTTTGTAAACCGACGTGATGTTCGGGGCTCGCTCCACTCCCGTCACGGGTCGGCCCGGCATTGCAGTGCCGCCGGGATTGGCCCACAAAATTCATATAAAAAGTAAAGTAGGATTCGGATAAAACATACGTATGTGTGAATGTAAATCAATAGTTTGTTTATAGACACATCTTCATTTAACGGTTCGTGAAATTAATAGTGCTTGTAACAATTCGGAGTTTTTTTCGTCACTATGATATTTATTTGGAAATTTATGGAAACACGTCTTTATTTTTGTTAATTTTCTGGTACAAAAATTTATTTACAAATCCAGCGCGCATAACGCGCGGTGCTCAAGCATTAAAAAAAAAACTAACTACAAATTAAAATAGATTGCGCGCTAGTACTTTGACATAGAGTTTTAAACAAAATTAGCGGGTGTATGGGTAAGTATATAAAGTTGAAAGTTAAGATTGAAAGCCCATCATGATGAATACACTTGGAATTCAGCACGATGGTTTCTAGGGGGAATACGTGGAGGTCGGCCTGCCAGGGTATATTGCTAGCAATGGGAACATTACTAACAATCCCTCCTCCTTCAAATAGTTGCGCTTACATGGCTTCAGTTTGAAGGGTGGGATATGGCAATGAAATTATAGAGCATGGAGTCATAACATTTTAGTCGTCAGGAATAGCAACACATGAGGGGTACCATTGGCATATTAATATTTTTTTTTTACAACACATATATATATATATATATATATATATTCTGTAGTATCCATGGTGCTGTTCATTTATACGACGATTACTACTTTCCATCAGCTGGGTCTTTTTTTTATAGGTGATAATGAAATAGTAACCTCACCCGCGCTATCGGTATACACCGGCGGGGTACCAGTGAAGGATGATAGATGAGGATGAAACAGGTCAGTTAGCCCATTGTGACGAATTCAACAAGAATTGTTCACGACGGAACCACGTGGAGGTTGACCTGATAGGGTAATTGCTAGCAATGGGGCTGTCAAACTCCATTGTTAACAACCCCCCCCCCCAACAGGTGGGTCGTCAGCTTGTTAGCCATTCTGAGTGTCATAGAAATTTTTTTTTATGAAGATGAATGAAAGTAAGTTGCGAATTTAGTGTGAATTTTAATATAGCAGTTGACTAGGCTCATTGTGCATCGTGACGAATTCATCTTTTATTAATTACAATGGTTTTCAGAATGAACTGCAACTGCGTAGAGGTTGGCCGACGGGGCATATATTTCCACTCCAAGGATTTATGTCACATTCGGTTTATTTTCAGTGTATTTTTTAAGTTATCAATGAAAGTAATTATCACTTGTTCTAGAATCAGCTGGTTATGTAACTAGTTTTTTATGAAATATTGACAATCCTTTATTTGTCTTATAGTAAGCACGAAAACTGGGTATGCATACTCATAATAATTATGAACGTAACCTTAAATTTGTTATCAAGGTCAAGTCATATAGTTACAAATGAATATTTATAAGATTGATTTAGATTTTCAAAATTTCATTTAGATTAGTTGTTTTATGATAATAAAATGGGAACTCTCACTCACACAGTACCGTGCATCTACGTACAGAGTAATCGTTAAAGTTAACTAACAAAATACTACAAAAGTCGTCTGCTTAGATATCTCTGTCCCTTTCATGTTTGTGCTGTAAAGCAGTTGTTTGCATGGTTGTGTTTTGGTTTGAAGGGTGGAAATGGCAGTGAAATTATAGGGTACATAACACCTTAGCCCAAAAGAAAGGCATCTCATAACGGGAATCTTCGATGACAGTATATTCTGTTATGTCCATAGTACTGTTCATGTTTATAGGTGACTTGCGACTTTCTATCAGGTGGGCGGTAAGCTTGTTTGTTATTCTAAGTAGCATAAAAAGTATTAAAGAATAGACAATTAAGACTTTTACACTAAGCATTTAAGACTTTTAGACTATGATCCTATGTTAAGGTAGGGTATGATCTCTTTGCTTACTTTTAATTTACTAATATCCATTCAATTGTCTAAAAGTAGTATTCTTAATTATACTTTATATCCTATTAGACATTTGTTGAAAAAATGTTAAATGTAACTATAAGTAAGTTGAATGATTTAAGAAGGAAATGAAGATAATACCTGCTCACTTGCCACTGAATAGGTATTATAATACAGATAAACCAAAATAATTTAAAGTAGGCCATTCTCTTACATTTATGTAGAGCCATCTCTTGTCTTTCGTTCTGGTTTTACACAGTACTTTTATATGTGGCGCAATAGTTTTAATTAATGACACTTCATTCGGTTTGAGTATGTAGTTCACTTTTTGTAAATGTTTATTACCTACAGTTACGCCATTTGAAAACTGTTATAGTTCTATTAAAATATAATTAATGGAGTGGCGAGGATAAATAAAATAATTTTATTATACTTAAAACATTAATTTATTCAACCATCGACAATCAAACACAGTATTTACATTTATTCATCACACATACACTCCGGTCAGTTACACAATAGGTACTAGCATGTACAAGCTTACATAAAATTAAAATTAGACAGTGAACTTTTTGTCACGGCTCTTCTAGTGCCGATGCACACAACACTACACTATTGGTAATATCACTTACATTACGCAAGTCTATGTATTTACACTAGTTTTAACTTAACGCTAATAGCGGCTCCTCCGGATCATGCTTTTGGCTATACTTTAGGTTTTTCTTCTTCCACTGATTTTTCTTGTTTAACATCTTCTGTTTTGTGATTTCCAACTTTGCTTTCGCTTTAGATATTTTTGGTGTGATTGTAGTCGTTTCATCTAAGCGCTGCAACGTTTCAATTATGTTTTTGGGCTCTGATAGTACTCTTCTTGTTTCTTCTGAGATTTCATCCATGGTGGCATTCTTGTTTGCATAAACTACAACGTAATGCGAATAGGCAGAGTTTGACGGTGTGTTAATATCGGCAAAGTCTCTAAAGTTAGCAAATTGGTCCTGATTGTAATTCGGTCTAGGGTTGGCTATGTAGCCGACTCCTATAGATGGTCTTCCATGGCCGTTATTGTAAAAAGAGCTGAAACCATCACTGTAATCAGATTCTTCATCATTTTGAGCGAAGAATGTGCCACCTTTGATAATTCCGAAGTTACCAGAGCCAAGAACACTGGAGCTGGCATCGATGAGCGGAGCAGCGGACGCTGTGCTTTGTTTCCCGAAATTATCAACATTTCTATAGTTGCCAAAGAGAGGATAATTCAGGAGAGATCTGTATGAGTTGGGCCTTTGACTGTAAGCTCCTTCATTGCCAAAGCCAAGACCGAAGCTATTTCGCGGTCGGGGCTCAAAGAGGTTAGCAAATGACGGGAAAAAATTCTGTGAATTGCCAACGAGTTCTATGGAATGATCAGTTTGGTCAGCGTCTGCTATAGCATCAGATACTTGGACCCTTTCTTGTAGATTAGACGGTGCAGGTACTGCTTCTGATATGATTTCTGAGGATTCTGCAGTTAGGTCAGTGTCATCTGCAACAAAGTAAAAAATGATTTTAGTACATATTTTAATTTAAATATGAAGATATATAATCTATGCGCTAATATGTTTTTGTTAATTTTTCCGTGTTACTTATAGAATGTTAGTGAGATTTAAGAAAGTTATATTAGTTTTTAATTTCTCATAGAATAAATTATAAATTATCATAAATGCATATAAAAGGTAAAATATATACACCTATACTCTTTTACGAAGTTGAAGGTCAAATAGTATATTTATTTATGTATCAAAAATAATGATAAGTAGAGTCTGACCTTAACTTAAGTAAGTGTGTAAGTGTAACTTCATATGCTTACATTCTGCTTAAGGCTGTAACATATCTGAAGTTGCGTTTTGCTGTTTATAAATTATTCATGCATCTATTGTTTTGATTAAGTCGAATTGTAGGCGTCAAACTTGACATGACACCACGGTAGTATGGTGTAATAAAGACATGATTTATAAGTTTTGTGACGTATATCAGTGTCCTTAGTTGTTTAGCTACCGCATAAAGTTAAACGCATAACATTTCCTGCTTGAATGTACCTAAGGAAGCAAAACACTATGCAAAGGTGTGGTATAATTTTTACATCTCTGTTAGTATTTTTGTTTGACTTGTCACCTTAGTTGTTTTTTTTTAAGTATAAATTGCAATATTTTGTTTCGGTCTGAAGTGAAATCATTGAAATGAAAAGTATATCTGACGATATTAGTTCTCAACCTCCATACGAGTAGATAAGTGATAAATAAATCTATCGGCAGACACATTTTCGTTATTGCACGCATGAAATAAAACAACACGCTGAATATTAGTGTCACGTTCTATCGCATGCATGTATGGTAATAAATTACAATGCGTCAAATGACTAGTATAAAATATGTGAAAGATTACCGTTATTTTGTTATTGGATCATCACAGAGTTATTTTTAAATTGACCGTAAAATCATTTGTGTGCTGATCGAGTTAAAGATGATGAAAGGCAATGTGTCAAAACAATGCTGTAACACACCGCAAAGTAGTTACACTGGTATTCGATTGTACGTACAATAGATTAAGAAATAATGAGCAGTTGAAATTCTTAGAGCTTGTTTCAGAAAATTAGCAAAAATTCTAGCAAAATCACACTATCTCATTTAGGTTAATAAACGTGTCATGTGAAAATTGTATTTACTTATAATAAAATATATAAATTTTCATGTATTATATATAATTAATAAAAATATTGTGTGAGGAATGCGATAGAAGCGATGTAGGTGTCTAAATAAAAAAAAAATTATGTACAAGTAATGTGGTCGTTTTCTTAATCGTTGTTATTTCCATGGTTTTATTCATGTCTATAGTCGACGGTTACCATTATCAGATAGTCAGCTTATTTGCCATTCTATGTTGCATAAAATGAAAACTAAATATTAAGTATGTATGTTCTTAATTACGAAAAATAATTATTATTCGTTGGTTCTCATAAAATGTAAACAATATTATCTGATTAATACTTATGCACAAATTGAAACACGGAACAAAATTAAACAGTTGTACCGGCAGGTAATGATTACTTTACATTAGTCATTAACTGTTGTAATGGACCAACTTAACACGATTAAGTCTCTGATCACAGATAGGTATCCCATTACGTTCGCAGTTACGACCATGTCAATGGATCAATGCACAAGCTCAATAAATATAGTGATACAAGCATGAGCGTAGTTTTCCGTAACATCGAGTAATTCAAGTACAAAGAAAATGTACTTATTACAACACATGTAAGTATTTAATACCTGTATTGCATTGACATTTTGCGGTCTGTGTTCTCGATTTTCTATTACCATATATTATATTACTGTTCTATCTATGTATGTAATATATGTATATTCGAAAGCGGTTTGTCTCGTTACCAAAATGTCCAGTATTATATTATTTATTTATCTGTGTTTCATTACGTATATTTGTTTTTACTTGTGTTTCTCTAGGGAAGGATTATCTATCATCAAAGATCCATACGAGCATCCATTTCAAACGTAGTAAACTACTGGCTGTCTTAGGGGTATGCCAATAATATGGAGTGCCATTATTGCTATCTTCGTTAGCAATGTTTCTCATAACTAAATATCTGTTTTGACATATTTTGGAGTTTGAGTTTCAGACGATCAGTTTTAGGAAGATATTCTTTCTGATTGGTTTACTAAAATTGCTCGACAGGCTCTGTTTGGCACTCGGGAAATCCTTTATAATTTTTTTTCTTAAAAGTTAACATTACAAAATCAAAGTTATTTTGTTAAATAGCAATATAAATTGAATGATGCAGAAAGTTCATCACGCACGCAGTTTCATTGTTGCTTATTTCTTGTTCATGTTCTTTTTTTTCGTTCATGGCTACAATGATAAAAAGTGTTTTAAGAAGTATATTGAAATTTACTTATATTCAGTTTAATAAATGTATTTTTTGTTAATGTAATTTCTTTTTGTTTGTTTGCTTTCTGTTATTAATAATATTATTATCACCCGTTTCCTAGTTAAAATCATAATTGAAATGAAAGAAATAAAATGCAGTTATAAAATAGAATGAAATAGGAAATAGTTTATTTTTTAACTTAAATCCGTCCATAGTATAAACATGAATTATAAGTTTCCTAGATAAATTTATCATTATTGTTTTGGAATTAGATGATAAAAGCTATTTGGATACATTAAGACTGCGAAATTTAAAAATTGGTATACTATGTTTTAATAGCAGTGTGGTACGTTACAATATTATTTTAAATATTATCCAGAAGCATTCAAAATCATTTAACAATTGTCTTTAAAATTAAAAAAGGCATTTCTAATGTTCCCAGTCATAAACAAAGGTTATAACGAAGTTCTTTTCACTCTTTCACTATCAATAAATGAGATACGACTACTATAGACATAAAGTGCTCATAATATCTATTCCGTATCATATATCATCACCAGAGGGAGACTTTGTACAAAAGGCGATTGCTTGGGTACCTCTGTCCCATTCGTGTTTCAACCGTGAAGCAGTTGTGTTTGCATGACTGTGTTTCGGTTTGAAGGGTGGGATATGGCGTGAATTTACTGGGTACAGAGAGAATAACACCTGAATCATCAGGAATGGCAACGCATGGGAGGTATCATGGGCAAAACAGTATACTCTGTTATGTCCATGGTACTGCTCATGTCTATAGGCGACGGTTACCACTTTCCATCAGGTGGGCCGTCAGCTTGTTTGCCATTCTAAGTTGTATACAACAAAAACATATAATCTTTGTAATATATACGTAATGCCCACAAATTGTTACTAATTTTATAAGTGTGAAAGTATATATTTTTTTATTTTTTACCTCCCGCTTGTCATATAGTCATATTATGACATGGTATTTGGAATGAAGAAAGACATTTGGTCGATTCTGAGGTGCTTTTTCTCTAAACCTATCTCTTAACTTAATATTTTAATTTGATTATTTCGTGAAATTACTGTATTATGAACCATCATAAATTAAAATAACTTTTATTTAAATCTATTAAAAAGAATAGTTCATATTGGTTATACCTTACAGTTAAAATTTCGCTGTGATATTAAATTTTAATTTTAAAGATAGGTGTAAAGAAATGGCGCTTCAGAATCGATCTCATTAGTTACTTTGTCTTAGTCAATCCGTATATTTCAGTCGTGCTGTTAAAGTTGCGTATAAAAGCCAGTAATTTTATACTTATTCAATAATTCATTTTCTATCTATTGTTGGCTACAGTACTGTGGATTTTTCCTCGTAGGAGAAACATTCCATGATGGCTATATGGAGTGGTACATGGTTTAATTCTGAGATTTTGTTCTCCGAAGTTTACGAGAATATTTGTTGGACAGTCTTTAATCCTAATTGAATTTTACTAATTATATTTAAATTACATATTCATGTAAATGTGGTAATTTATCTTAATAGGTATACCTACTTACCAAAAAAAATGTTAAAACATTCAATTAAGTTGGAATTCTCCGAGCCACTACGAAATCATGCCAGAGGTCAAGAGAAAGTTCATGGCAGATTCTTTTGTAATAGATACTCGTACCGATAGTTGTCTTAAAAATACGCTTATTACTGTTATCATCGACATTCCCTGATGGGGTTGGAGATTAATTTCATTCTTAGAATAATTCGATCAATTGTTGACGTTATGGAAAATTGAAAATTCAGCTTATGTTTTAGTTTAATCTATCTAGCCTATTTAAGAGCTACTCTTGTCGGTGGAGCTCTTGCCATTTACTATAATTTTCTGCGAGTCTCTTCACCTCTTGATACGACACGATACTAGATTTTTTCTTGATCAAATCAAATCAAAATTAAATCATATTTATTCGCTTGCTATATGGTGATCTGTCTGATATAACTATGTCCTAGTCTCCATCTTCCCCTCCTTTCTTCTATCTTCTATTATTATGTTTATAAGTTTCCTGTGTCATATCAAGTGTCCTAACATTTTTTTTCTTCAAACCCTTTTCCCTTTGTATGTTCTATGTTTATAAAAATCTCAATATTAGCAGAAGTTGAGCCTACCGCAGTCTCTCATATAATCTCATATAATAATATAATTTAATAAATTAAGTTTATTGTAATTTTGAATTCCATTTGTAGAACTTTTACTGATATTATAAATGTTTGAATTTGTTACCTCATGGCATTTTAACAGCTTAACCAAACGCTATAAAATTTGTTATACAGGTTCTATATAGGATGGAGAAAGATAAGCTTTTTATCTCGGTCAGTGATCATATCCCGGTAACGTAGACGAAGTCGCGGGTAAAAGCTAGTACAAATTATATAGTTACAAATTAGAGGCAGATATTTTATGGCTTAGGTAATAATAAAATGAGTAATAAAAGTAAAAAATAAAATTTAAATAGGTGAACAAAATTTTCTGTACGTCAGAATTGTCAGTTATTATCAGTGTTATGAATTAAGGTAGTGGTAAGTATATGGCGTTTGTACCTACCATATGTAT